CTTTGGGTTTGCCTTTTTTTTTTTTTTAAATGGTGTGTTGACCATTTCAAACCCACGCCACGTCAGCAAGGAAGTGAACCCTGTAGTCAAACCCGTAGTACGTCTAGCATTTCCCTTTAAAGATTACATATCATTAATAGTCTAACAAGTTTCTCCTGAATTATGTCTACTATCCAATTTCCAATTTCCAATTTCTTTAGTTGTACTGGCACACTGAAAGATTATGGATACCCTATATTAGAAGATATGTGACTTTTAAACAAAGAAAAGCACATATAATGTAAGATGGGAAAAGGTGAACATATTCTACATACCTGCTCAAGGACGAGATCAAACAATTTACCACCTATGGTAAAGGTATCATTGGGCATGAAAGCAGGGGCAGACCGAGCACTTGGCCAGCCCTTGCGGTTGTCCGTGTTGGATCCATCGGGAGCTTTAGCTTAGTCACCGTCCACTAGGAAGAAGTGAAGAAGGCACCCGCTGCCAAGAATGGGTGGCTGGGCAATTGGGCCTAAATTTTTTTTTTCCTTTCTTATTGTTTGGGCCTTTTTAAAAAAAAAATAAAGCCTAATGAATGGGCCTAATCCATGGTGGCTGGACTAGAGAAGTCACTGGACCATGGTTATTGGTCCACCGGATGATGGATATATGGTTTTGCTTGCAATTGCAACCCATTAGCCACAAAACCAAATCCAAAATTGAAAATTGGTCATCGGTCACCGGTCAATAGTCAACGGTCTCTGCCCTAACTGAACTATAATGTTGGATTCGCCCCTGCATGGAAGAAAGGCTACTGTAGTCGACGGCTGATTCTCCCATTGGACTGAGCAGTTGATCACAGAGCTATAGTTGAAATTTGAAAATATGGGCTTCAAAACACAAATAAGCAACATTTTAATGGCATGTTTGATGGAGGATTAGTAGTATTGAAAAGTAGTAAGAAAGCAATATAAGCTAAAATCGTGTTTATTACTCCTATCCAGTATTGTACCAAACAGAAGTCTAAAAGCCTGAATGTGCAAGTCACTTACCTCATTGATATAGTCCATAATTTTATCTTCTGTTTCATTCCGTCTAAGTTGATTTTGCATCCATACAACTGCAATCTGACAAGCAGTACACATCTCATCGTGCATACCATAAGAAGCCTTTTTGTTTTTCTTGTCCACCACACTCTCAATAATCAAGCTGGACAAACTCAAGTTTCAAATTAGGAGGTGATCGATGTTTATACTTTTCAGTATAACGGCATGATATCACAAGATCACTGTGATGTCTAACATGGATGATAAGAAACCCAGGGAAAAACTTGAATGATCAGAAGAGATAACCCGATTCTGGAACAATTTTTTTGGGGCGCTGCCTGTAAGCACCAACATGAAGTGGGAAATTCAGGTTCTCAGACAAATTTTACAAATCTCAATTAGCAGAATAGCATCTTATAATACTCTGCATAGTTCATCACTAGATACAGGTGAATCAGTACGTCCTCCGAAAATTTGAAGAAAACGAAACAAAATTAGATAAAGAATACAAGCTCTATACCTCTGATAAAAACATTTCAAGTCTGGTTTTCCCGTACTGGGCAACAACAGATTTGCATTCCCGGCTTACAACACCTGAAGCTCCAATGGCATGATTGATTTGAGCAATAAGTCTGAAAACAAGATATTCCAGCATGTCAAACATGTCAGCAGTCAGCATATGTATACATGAGACGCAACACATATTATAATTTAGCACAATCAGACAAGATTCAAGCATAAGAAACTTCCAATTCATGAATCAAGGATATATGAATACCAGAATGGAACTGAATGTGAAGGGCTAAAGCTAGATTTATAATGGAAAAATCATCAACATTACGTGATAGGTTTACATCCTTACCAAGAAATAAAACCATAAGCTCCAAACATTGCAGAAAATTTTGGAAACATACTATCAGTCATCTGGTTTTAGCAAGTGTAGCTAGTTTATGTCCTTTAGGACCTTTACGAATAACATCTGATTCAGTTTTACAAACTGAAGTTGTTTTTTGCTTGTAGACCCAGAAAGTGCTACCACTAAAATTACTTTGATCGCTTTTCCAATCACATCCTAGACAAGCTGAGTTATTTTTTGCAATCACTATTGGCAGAGCAGTTTGCCAGTTGCCAAAAGTAAGCTCTACTTTTGAGTGAATGAATTTGGGTTAAAT